TCTGCTTTTTCATTTCCTTTCACCTTGTCACATCTTGGTGTGTACAGCCAAAATAGTTTCTTGAGGCTGGACTTCAGGAAGCTGTCCCCTGATTCTAGTCAGAGTTTGCCAGTCTGGATCTTCTTAAGCATGCTCATTGAGTCTCTCTGTGTCAATGCATGAGTTGCATTACGTTGCCCTAACCATGCAAGTGCACCTGTGCAAAAATGTATGCCAAGTCATTTTTCAACAGATCCTTCTTCTGCCTTTTATCCTTCCAATGGAGCATAGGTCCTCAGCTCACGCCAAGTCATTCCATCCATTACTATCGCATGCAGCTCTCCCTACGTTCCCCCCCCCCCCCATCTTTTTAACTTCACTCTCTACCTCCTTTCTCCATGTGATTTTTAGGCTTTCTTTATATTCAATGTCCGCTCTGTGGCTAAGTCGATGCGAAAGCTTCATAATGCCGGGATGCCGGGTTCGATTCCAGCTGCGGGCCATGCACCTTGCATTGATTTTGACAGTGGTATCAAGAAAGCCGACCGTCCAGAAAGCAATGGCAAACTACTGGATGTAAATTTGCCTCGAAAAACCACACATCAGCCAGGGGCTGCTGGGGTTGGTTCTGCAACGTCCTGTAAAGGATACACAACTAACCTTTTTATAGTCAACACATCTGCAGCTACAAACTGCATTTAACACCAGTAAAAAGAAACAGTGAGGATTCGCAAAAGGATTTATGTGTCTTTTTAAAACCATACTACAGGGCTTAGTACCAAGCATTAAAGAGTTATCGTTATGTCTGTTAGTGTTATTGCACTTAATTTCAATTCTTCTTATCTCTTTCAGTACCACACAACTCACCATGTGTTTCTTAGTAGTTCTAAAGAGGACGTCTGTGATCGTCACTATCTCAGACACATTTCATTAAAAATATCTAGTATCTGAGTTAAGAATTGACATCACAGCACTCAGGGCATTCCCATATGTGCTCCGTCCCCATCCTCAGCAGCCAGCCCAGAGTTCAAATACCAATGGTGCCGGTCGTAGCCTGGTTGTTTGTCCGTCTTTCCTTTCCTCTGAGCGTAGTAAGCTAGCCAAATCCTCTGGTCACATAGAGGTGCATCATTCGCTTCAGCCCATAATAATCTAGTTTCTCTTCTGACTTCCGTTACTTGTTCTCAAAGGGCACTGACCACATCTGCCTTGTCATGTATCAATTCACAACCCAACGGTGCAGATAATATCTGAAATGTTTACCTACTTCTGTCAAAAAACGTCTCTGTTTAACTCTTTGAGCCCCTGAGGGTTTAGCATCACAGGCCCCAGGGGTAGTCAAGAGAGACGTAAAATCTGCGCATTATGCGTTCTTTGGGCTTCTAGGTAGTAAAATATGAACGTATGATGCGTTCCTTGGGACTCAAAGAGGTAACTCCTTCACGCCTTTAGCTGGACTCTTTGGAAGTAGAAATAGGTTAAAGTAACTGGCTCTCCTTTAAATAATGGTCCCAAATGATCTACGCACAAAGTTAACCCTAACAGAGCCTCAATCATATATAAAATTCGAATTTCTTTTGCGGTGATTCAACCGTGTCAAAAGTAGGATTAATTGCGCACGACATTTTTGCGAAACGCAGCGAATTTGTTTTTACGACGATTACACGCGGACAAAACTAGGATTAACTACGAACGAAAAAAATTTACGACATGCGAGAATACTGCTGATAGCGCTATCCTACAGCAGGGCCCGCGTTATATGAAAGTTGCGGACCGCTCTTCGCCGACTTTAGTGCCACCTCCGAGAGTATCCCCTGCGCCGCTACGCGCGGCGCAGAAGGGGCTGAACTAGATGGCTAGGACTCACGAGCAGCAGCTACCACAGCTCCTGCAGCTTCCTCTAATGTATTTGCTCGCGCATAGCGGCGCGGGGGATACTCTCGGAGGTGGCACTATAGTCGCCGGAGAAAAAGTCAACAATTTACAGGAGCTTCTTCTTCTGTCAGAAGTACTAGCGCTATCGTGGCGGCTGCTGGTTTGAAGTTGTCCCGAGGCGACATGCGCATACATTAAACCGCACATTACAGCTGATCATGTCTCACCCGGAACAAGAATTGCGCACAAGCCGTGCTGAGTTGCAATGCCGGATAGCGAGACAGAACAGATATTTGCGCACTAATTGCAACTTCTGTGCCACAATTTTCACATATAAAGGATTAAATTTTGTTAAGTAGTACACTTTGCCCTTTTCCTTACACTTGTTTGTAGTGCAGGACGTAATGAGGCTCTGTTAGGGTAAACTTTCTGCGTAGATCATTTGGAACCGTTATTTAAAGGAGAGCAATTTAACTTATGGGACTGAGAGAGTTTAAATAAGTACAATGGGAGGCTTCTGATCGCTATAACCCTGAACTTACAACTTTACAATATGGCCAGAATGTACACAGGCACTAGTCTTGCAAACGGAGGAAGAATGTACTATGGTCTGTCGACTAGACGAGGCAGACCAAGAAAGGCATGGATTTCCAGATAAAGGATTCATTCTGACGACTGGACAAGGCCTCACAGACAGTTCGAAAACATCAAGTCCATTACAGCTGATCATTAGGAATGAAAAGACCTGACATAACAGTCGGCAGCAACATGGTGACCCAAAGGCAGTGTTACGAGACAGAGTAGACAGAGTAGCTGACTGGTCGGCGGACTTAAAAACAGAACAAACCCAGTCATCTTATCATGACTTACCTTTGAGTACCAAATACTGACAGTTTTATTAGAAATGACAGCAAACAGCATACGATCACAACTACTGACGATATGTCTTATTGCATCATTACTCCCATAAGTTGTTTTTAGTTCCTTAGGCCATCCTAAAGGAAAATACATTGTAAATCTGGTTTGTTTTCTTAGCTAACTATGCCACAACTTCGTCAACAATCGCCATATTGTTTCCTATATTCTGCTGTGAGAACCTAGGGTAAATGTGATTGGCTGACACTTTCCATCGACAGCCAATGAAACGAATTGTTAAAGTCCAGGGCAGGAACTCTGTAGACCGGACTTGTGTTTCAGGTGGCTCGAAGGGGTGAGAACATTAGGAAACATTTCTATAATTAATAATTTAAAATGTTTCAAATTTACAAAAAATACATAACCTGCGCCAATAATAGAAAAATAGCATATCTAGTATACCATACAGATAGTTAAATACATGTTTTTAAATAATTTAATAATACAAATTGTCGCTCAGCCTTATCTTTTACCCTTACGATTTTAATGCATAGTGTATCTTGGCAACTAACAATGCCTTGAACATCGTTCTTCAGCAACCTTCCGTTTCGTACTAGGCACTACTATTACTATTATAACCAATAGTCAGTTCAGGTTTTGCATTTAATGTCAAAATTATAACCGATATAAAGGTAAGTTAAACTATTAGAGTTTTAATTTTTATGATCGTATCATTTAATGTGAGCAAAGAAATAATTTCTGAAATTAAGAAGAGCTAAGTTAGACGCAGCTGAGCTGTGGTTCTTGAGAAGAATGATAAGAATAGAATATCTTGGACTGTTAGAATAACCAACACTGAATGCCTGGAAATGCTAATGAAAGTAGAACATTATGTATAGCAGTGAGAAGGAGACAAAGTTCTTTGGTCATGTAATGAGAAAAGGAGCACTGGAAAATATCGTGACGAATGAAAAGGTCACTAAGTGATCTACCAGTGGTAGAAGTAAGAGGCAGACGCAGACCAAGAGAAATTATGGTGGATGGCTTAAGACGGTGGCATGGAGGAACATCATTAGTAGAACTGATCCAGAACAGCAAAGACCGAGATCTGTGGCGACGCATAAACGCCTACGCCAGCTGACAAGGCACTTGATAATGATTATTATTTAATATAAATGTTTATGTTCCATGTTTACCTTATCCTTTCGTAGGCATAGACTTGACTAGAAGTATAGAAGTACTACTGGATCTCTAGTAATCTATTACTGCTTTTATCAGGATCTACATGCAATTCAAATTGGAATTCACGTTCTTATCTGTTGGACAATGTAATCTATTATGGGTGACCTCAGCAGCAGGGCGAAAAGATGATTCAGGAGACGATGTTGAATCGGTAGCACTCAAAAGACTACAAGATCTTCAGGTCAAAAGAGATGCCCACACTGTGAATGCCATACAGGTAGCCAAAGAGGAAATTGAAGAATAGTAAACCAACACAGAACTGGTGTTAGTAGTCGCCACACGCTGAGTGATATACTGAAGATAGGATATATGGACTTGTTCAGTGAGGACAATCTGTTTATTAACTAACTAACGCAGCAACTAACTGACGGCTAGCTTTTGCGAAAATAACTACTACTTTTGTTCCAGGACTTGAGAATTGCATGCACATTCATTTTAATTGAAGACTTTTTCATTGTCCTATTGTGCCATTTACATCATATAGTGCTCATAGTCTATTTTTCCATTCTGTTCTTTCCTGTGCAATCACTTTGCTATAATGGATGAAATTCAGCCCAGTGCCCTTGGCTTCTCTTATCAACGCTCATCTTAGGGTTTCCCTTCAGCATCCTTATTTCCTCAGTCCATTCGCCATATACAGAGGGAGCAGAGTAATACCTGGATCAAAATGGCCCTATCTGAGCTTAAAGCCCAGAGGCAAAACATGTGGGACACAAAAAAACAGAAAGAGGAGAAAGCCAAAGACAACAAAGGCAGTCATGTTGCTACAAATCATAAAACGGAACGAGTAGCAGGTAGAACATGGGCAGAGAAAGAAAAGAAGAAGTAGAGGAAATGTGGATATGGTTAGTTTTTATTAAAGCCATCACCTTTTATGGCATGTTTGTTAGGGGTAGTGGGTCCCCCCCCCCCCCCACCCATTCCAGAATCGGGTCCCAGAAACCACACAGGGGTTATTACTATTATTATTATAGTATCTAATGCTTTTGCAGTTACTTTTCCTTTATTAATTAAATGCTCCCCTTTTTGTTTTGTTTTTGGTATCAAAGATGGCGTCGGATCACAGACTTGCCAGGGACAGAGCAGCAAGACTATTGAGGAAACAAGGCTCCAGGTCTTCCTTAGCTAGTAGCACTGATATAACTCAGAATGACCGTCATCAGAAATTGGAGTGAGTTTTTTTTAATGTCAATTTTAATTGTACACAGACATTTGATAGATAAATAAATTGCAATGCAAGTAATTGTGGGACTGTTAAATGTAGAATTAACTGTTTAACCCCCTAGACATTGGGGGGAAATCCACATAATCCAGGATTATGCACGTGCGTTTCCTGAATGATTCCATTTTGGAGGAACTTTAATAAAACAACATAGTTTAAAAGTTGAAAATATAATGGGTACCAGGAAATGTCCAGTTAAAATGGCCATCATGATGTTCATCACTTCACCCATCGAGTCTTGACTAATCTATAAAAATATATGTTTAGCAGTATGTGCCTGATAAGCCAAAGGTAGGAAAAAGTCCTTTACTTTTTACTTTAACTTCCTGATTAAAATGTTGCATATTTTCATTGTTTATTTTAAATATTAATAACTAGATTTTCTTTTTCAGGAATGTTTATATTTTTATCATTTAAAAATGGCAGAACTACACAATTTGTAACTGAGAGTGTTGAAGCCTCGTCTTGTCTCTTCCAGTTCAGAAAGCACAGTCAGTTCAATATCCTTCAGAGATAACCCAACGCATGATGATCATTTCCGTATTCCTGTGAAATATGAAAATACTTACCAGCTGGAGCCCACAAAGAAATTCCCTCATTCCACAGTGAATAACTTTATAAAAGAATCCATGGAAAATTTGCTGTCTGATGAACACTACCGGCCAGACTTTTGTCGTGATGTGACCAAAACACTTTCTGAAGTAAGTGGTGAAAGACAGTTCTTTGTGGTTATTAATGCTTCCATATGAACCTTTTCACTACCTTGAGGCATCACATTGTCACTTTTACTTGCCATAATATTTCTTGGTGCCTATCTTAGGCTGGAAGCCCAGATCCTCAACCTTGATGATGATTCAAACCTGTGACCCTCATGCTGACTGGCAAGCATGCTAGCCACGCTGATATTGATGCTCCCTGTAAAGTTGCAGGGGTTTGGCATACTCACTTGTTTAAACCTTTCAACCTGCAGTTTGTAAGTCTGGTAACTTTACATATTCACTTAGCTCAGAGGAACATCTTACTTCCTTTTAATACAAATGCCATCTAACCATACAAACAGTGTTGGGAAAAAGGAAGTCAAGGGTGGTATTAGAGGAGAAATATGGTAATTATGAATGACCCATCACCATTACTTTTCCAAGATAAATTGCTACCACACATTTGAAGAGAAGGAGTCAGCGCTAAGACTCATATAGGGGATGGACAATACACCTCCACCATTGTTGAGGATAAAAATCCAGATTACACTTCCGGTTAGGTCCAATTCCCTGTAAATGTTAGTTTTCAGACTTGCCTATATGACGTGTTTACGAGATGTATAATTAATTGTTTTGACTTAGTTTGCCCCTGCGCACTTGTACATTTGAGCTAAATGGCATTTTTAAAGCTAAGTTGATGTTAGGTTTTTTGTAAGCCCTAATAATAGAAGTAACAAAATCACAACATGAATCACTGGATGCAAGGTTATTTTTTTTTTTTGCTTTAGAGGTCCCTGTTAGTATTTATTTATTACTCCTTTCATATATCTATATATTTCAGGGGGGGGGGGGGGGGGGGTTAAAAATGAAGATAAATACGTTTCTAACAAATTTATTAGTGACCTATGTAAGAACCCAAAAAAAAATTTTTACATATTTTTTCTGGAACTCTAATGGGGTCATGACCTACTTTGGTTAATGTTCTGGGGGTAAAATGATTATTAACTGATTACATACAGTACTTAACAGTTGCATTTTTTCATATTATTTTATTTTGTTCTATCCTCAGAATAACGGGCACAAAAGATGGCGGCCGCAGGCGGCCAATAACAGGACCTCAGTCACGTGTCAATTGCGCACTTCCGGCGACCTGATTTGCGGTTCTCCGGCAACCACGCTGCGTTAGCGGCGTGGATTGGGGCTAAACTAGATGACTGGGACTGACGAGCAAAGCTGCAGGAGATGTGGAAGCTGCTGCTCATGAGTCTCAGCCATCTAGTTTAGCCTTAATCCATGCCGCATGAGCGGCGTGGGATATACTCTTTGCGGTCGCGGTAGTTGCCAGAAAACCTCAAATTAAGTCGCCGGAAGTGCGCAATTGACACGTGACTGAGGCTCTGTTAGGGTGTTTTTGCGGCCGCCATCTTTTGTGCCCATTATTCGGAGGATAGCCTTATTTTGAATTACTCCAGAAGTGTGTTTGGTATTTTCAGACAATAAAAGCCAGAATCAAGTCTCTCATGATTCCTCGGTACAAAATCATCTGCCTAGTACAAATTGGTGAGCTAAAATCTCAAGGAATCCGAGTGGGAAGCCGTTGCTTGTGGGATGACTCCAATGACACATTTTGGACTCATGAGTTCAGGAATAAGTCCATTTATGCCATAGCATCAGTTTATGGAATTTATTATGAATAAAATGGCAGTAGCTTTCTTACTGTACCTTCAGACCCGTTTTGAAAGTGGAAAAACTTATTGTTGCAGAGAAGATTTATGTGTTTTATATAGCGATTTGTTTCGAATTTAGAGGTGAAGGTGGAATGTAAATAATTTGTGACATCTATTTAGATTGTCATTTCAATAAACTAATTACTTTTATATAAAAACTTATTGTTTCAGTGAAGATTGTTTTATGGGGTGACTGTTTATAATATAAAGCTGAAGGTGATTATATAAATAAATTATGACTCAGTTCTATAGACTCAGATAAACTAATTAATTTTTATGCAAAAGCTGACAGTTAAATTTTGATAGCAGCTGTTTTCTGGTTTTAGAAGGTAAAATGTAAAATTCTGAGTTATGTCAGCAAAAGTTTAGACTTTATAATGTTATTATAAGGTAGGAAATAAATGCTAACTTGAACAAATTAAATATTAGGAAAAACAAAATTAAACATAAATACAGAGATGACTTTCTCAACTTGGTCACCATTTATTATATGATGGAGATAAAAAGATGGATAAGATATAAATGCTGATAATTCTGCAGGGCAAAAAATAGGATATCCAAGAAACAATTACAATTTGTAAGAACTTTGGAGCTCAGATTTTTCTTCTTCTTCTTTGTCACTTCCTCTTTTTTTGCTTGGGGTGTCGAGAAAGATATAAGTTCCTGCTTCTTGCTCTTCTGGCAACCTTGATTATAGACACATCATGCTATCCTAGGGTTTCTCTGATCTTATGTTTCCACCTTTTTTTTTGTCTACTCTATGGTCTATGTCTTTCTCTTTTGGTGCATGTCTTGTACAAGCCGTTCTCTCTAAGTGGGCAAACCATTTGATTGGCTGTCTTTGTATTTTAGAAGTAATTATGTGCCGACCTGTCTCTTATGACCGCTCCAGATTTATGCTGAACTTAAAAGGGGGGAGGGGGTGGGGAAGAAGCAATAAACAAAAATGAAAGAGAATAAGAAGAAAGAAAAGCTGCTAGAACAGAAGATAATAGAGAAACATAATCAGATAACTTCAACAACAGTCTTTGGACAGATTTTCCTGATTATGGTGTTAATGTTAACTTAGAATATAATGTTATAAATAAAGAGTGGGATTTTTATTTTTATTTTTGCTAGTGCTGCATTGCTATGGCTCCCTTTTAATGTTGTGCCTTATTGTTATTTAAAAAGTGTCTGACAATACATTTATTCATTGTTGTATATATTCTTTTCACTGTAACAATGTGCAACAAATTTGTAGTCATTGTTTGTTAAAATGTTAACAAAAAATCCCTGTGGGGGGGGAGGGGGGGGGGTGGGTAGCCCACTACCTCCTAATAGGTGACTAAATAGAAGTTTACTCACATCAGATGTATTTGGCTGAAATGTACAGATATCATAGCCTAACAGGAAACCACAACACAACATCTCAATGGCACCTTTTAAGGTGAATGCAGAATGAGAAGAATTAGTAATTGCTAGCATCATTTTGCTGTATCTTGCCGGGTGCTTACTACAGAATTAAACAAGATATAGAAAATTAAGGAAACTAAAATTCAAATACCACACTGGGGAGATGCAGTGAAATAGTGCAATCTGTAATTTATTTGTTCAAATATACAAGGAAACATTGCTTTGTTACTAAAAAAAGTTTTAATTTTATTTTGATAACTGCATGTAAACTGAACAGCAACAGATGTTTGTAATCATAGCAGTCTTCTTCTTCTTGTTATAGACCATGTATGTTGGCAATGGTAGGCATATATATCCATAACCTTCTGTCTTGTATACTTTCAGACAGTTCAGACACAGATATTCTTCAATGCCAAGATATAAAATTGTCCAGCATGTTCTCTCTGTCTCCCTGTACCTTCTTTTCTTTCCAACTTTTCCACTATCACGGAGTACTCCAGTTTTCTCCTCTTCAGATTGTCTCCTCCTGATCTGGGCAATCAGTTCTCCTCTTGGGTCATTTTCTTTCAAGATATCTTTGTTACTCTTTTCTTTTCTTTTTTTTTTTTTTTACTTCATCCAGGGTATTCTCATTATTTGTCTGTAAAACCAAATAATTTTTCACTAATCATACAGCTATGTCATTCACCTCCATATATCAGGATAGAATTTATATAGAACTGTCTTTCTTTTCTCATTTGACAAAGAATGATGTGATAGAATATTCTTCATTTTATAAAATACTGTCTTTGCTTGAGTTTTTCTACAATTTACTTCTTTACTACATCTTCTGTATGCTGTTAGGAATATTGCATGGTAAGGCCTTAATCTCTTTTGTGGTGCGACTCTCATGCTACTGCTGAAAAGCTTTGAGAACAATTTAGTTTTAATGTAACAATGTATCATTTTATATTAAAAAAATTAAGTATACTGTTTTAATATTATATTTTTATATGTTGTATGTGCATATTTGATACATATTTCTTCACTGTAAACACTGTGCAACAAAGTTGTGGGTTTGTTTCTAAATTAGTTTTAAACATTGAAAACTGCATTTACACCAGTAGAATTGTTAAAATAGACTACATTTATAATTTTAACTGCTTTAACTCTGTGGGTACCAAGGAACACATCAAGCTTTGATTTATAATTTATTTATCTGTCTATTAGTACTGAGAGAGTTAATATGATACTGTTTATAAAAGTTATAGTGTACATTTTTTATAGATTATATTTTTTGCAAGTGTTTGATGTCAGGTGATGTGATTGCTTGAAAGTAAGTAATTTGTGTGTGTTGTTTGTGTGTATGTGAGAGAAAGAGCAATAGGTTTAAGTTTGTTCACAGTATAATGCCTAGAGCCAATGGTGATAACAGGTCCAGATTTTTTTTTCTTCAGAATTGACCTTGGCACCTAGGTCGACCCAGCCTAAAATGGGTGCCAGGTAATATCTTGAGAAGGCCGGTGTGGTGTTTATTTACTACTTAATATGCCTCTCCACAGATATGAGGTTACAGTATAAGGTTTGCACATCCCACTTGTTTTTAACTTGGAGAGATAAGTAGAACTCTGCAATACAGTCCCTGTGGAGTTGTTACTCAACCAGTAGAAAAGTTTCTACACCAACCTCATAGTTATTATTGCAAGCTACTAGTAAAGTAAATATCCGAGGAACCTTTGTTATGCCAGTGGCACTTTAGGATATGATGCGAGAATTATATTTTGTACATACCATTTGACACTCTGTGGGTGTTGTGATAAACATCATAATGGTTGTCTTTACTTCCCAGAGGTAACCTGGTACCCTTTCTAGGCTTGGTCGACTTCAGATCCAAGGTCAGTTTTGGAGGAAAAGAATCTCACTTGATGAGACTTTTTTGGGCCGGCAAACAAGTATCTTGCCAATGGGATGATACGAGCCCAAGTACAAGCCACTATAAGCGTTCAGATTCACCTGTACATCAGTGTGTCAGAGTTTAGAGTTAGGATGATTAAATGTAGTCTTTCAAGGAATATTCCAAAAAGCCAAATGCCAACCAAAGGATTTGTTTTAAAAGATTGCTTATGTTTACCATGTTAATCCACTTGTGACTTTACTTCTTTAATATAAGTGAAGCCTAACAGCTTATTCAGCATGTATCACTGATATTGCTGTTTTACATGTTATCAGGATTATATTTTATTTAAACACAATTATGTGATCAAGTATTATAATTTTTAAAGCCTAGCTATATATGGTTATCTCATTTAATAAAATAAATAAATACATTTCTGTTTTAGTTGGTGTCTGGGGCTTAGTTGTTGCGAATGCAATTCATAATTCCAAGATGCCAGGTTTGATCCCAACTGTCGACTGTTCGACAGCAGACTGTCTTACATTGGTTTTGACAGTGGTTTTGAGAGTCAACTGTTCAAGAAGCAGTTTCAAACTAATTTGCCTACTTCTTTTCCTTCCAACTTTCCCACTATCACGGAGTACTCCAGTTTTCTCCTCCTCAGATTGTCTCTTTCTGATGTGGGCAATCAGGTCTCTTCTTGAGTCATTTTCTGACAAACCGACAGATAATCTGGGATGATCCTGTAAAGTGTACGAAATTAACCTCAAAACTTTCTTTCAACTCTTTCAGGCCTAGGTATTTTGACAGACTTAACTGTCATTAATTTCCCTTTACAAAAATGGCAGAAGGGGGGCTTTAAAAAAAAAAGGCAGTTGAGAATGTAATATATTTCGAATCCCTACACAAGTATTATTTTTTAAAGAGGAATAAATGTACGTTTTCAATACGATGATATGTTTTTGTTTAATGCTGTTGTGTTTAGTAGAAATTTAAAAAAAAATAATTCAACAGGTGTTGTGTTTACAAAGACAAATTTTTACCAAAAAATGTATTCACTTTCCATGGTTTTGCAACCGCAAGAGCAGTGAATGTCCAAATTTGAGAATAATATTTTAAAGTTTATTAATTTCCTAACATATTCTTCTTTTTCTTCCTCTTGTTCACCAGCTGTAAATGTTGGAGGAAAGTTCTGGGTGTTAGTCCACTTCTGGACTTTAGTTCTGTACCAGAACCTGAGTGTTGTATGCACATCTGTTTTATAGATCTGACAAATGTATATGCAGACCGTTTGTTCCTCGCCTCTCAGGTAAATGCACCCTGGCTTCAAAGGAAGCTGACAATCAGTCGACTCTTACTATATGCTTTTGGGAAGGCAGTGGTACTTTTTTTTTGTTTTCCCAATAATAGGAACCCGAAACCCACAGGGGACTAACATATTCAAAAGTTATAATGAGTTAGTTTTGGGTTAGTTTGTCACTCAAAAAGAAGCTCTAGGTTCTCCTAGAGTGCTTAAAAAAAATGTCAAAGAAAACATGGCAGAAAAATTGACTATTACCCACAAAATTTTTACTTTGTACAGTTATGTACAGACTGTAGCTGCAATGCATGCAATGCAGTTTAGCCATAGTATAGTACTTTTGATGCAAATGTGGGTGACTATAATATTGTTTGCAACTGCAATTGGTCCTTCTGGGTTTAG